TTCCACCGAACCTCAACTGAACGCTACCCTAAAATTTTGTAGGGTAGAGTTCAACTAAACCTTTGGCGTTTCCACCGTACAAGCGCTGACCCCAACCCAACTCTAACCCGACTCTGACCCGATTTGGACCCTCGATGGAAACGTAGTCTATGACGGCCGATGACGGCAATACGCGTTCTCATTGGTCAGTGTTTTTCATTAATAATTCAAAAACTAAGCTATAATCAGCATTTTGGTAAAGGAAAAAGTTGTTCAGAATCACTCCAGCTACCACCCCCTAAAATTATGGCCACCAGTAGCCGAACACCCTGTAGATAGGTTCACCAGATGGCCAGAAGCAGTATCAATTACCGACTGTTCACCCGACAAAGTAGCAACGGCTTTGTACTCGGCGTGGATAGCAAGATTCGGAGCCCCAGCCACCGTTACGTCCGATCGGGGACGCAATTCGAGTCCCAGCTGTTCCAGTCTCTGGCCAACCTGATCGGATGTAATAAGACAAGGACCACCGCGTACCATCCCCAATCAAACGGTATGATTGAGAGGTGGCATAGGTCACTTAAGGCAGCGATAATGTGTCACGAGACACGAAATTGGGTCGAGATACTTCCCACGGTCCTACTGGGTCTCCGAACTAGCTTTAAAGACGATATTGGAGCATCTGCGGCGGAAATGGTATACGACGCTCCCATAAAATTGCCGGGAGAGTTTTTCATGGCTCAAGACGAAACTACAGATCTGCAAATATTTTTAGAGAAATTTAGGCAACATATCAGACAAATTAAACCAAGTCCAATATCGCACCATAGCACTCAAAAGACATTTACTCATAAAAATTTATATACATGTTCGCACGTATTTTTGCGAGTAGACGCAGTTCGAAAACCTTTAGAACCGCCTTACGAAGGTCTATTTAGAGTAGTGCAGAGGGTTACCGATCGAATATTTAAAATTGATTATAAAGGAAGCGAAATCAATGTATCGGTCAATAGATTAAAACCTGCGTTTTGTGAAACTACCGAGACTGAAAGAAATAGCGTACCAAAGACTTATGTAAATTATGTACAAAAAAGAGTTACGTTCGCGCGTTAACTCACTCGGAGGGGAGTGATGTGGCGATTGTAGCGACAGCGACACATGCGCCCTCTGGAACAGTTCCTATTTTTAGTTACTTTTTATTTCTTAGGTTAAGTTGTAAATAGTAGTTGGTAAGACTAGTTTATAAGGAACGCGGCGCGAAAAAGAAGAACGTCGTTCTTCCACTTCTTGTACGAAAGAAAAAGAGTCAGCGAAAGAGTCAGCACATGCGCGAAATAATAAAAAGTGCAATACTTGCTAATAGCAAGAAAAATTCGTTGTACATCATTTATTACACCGGACTCTCCTTCACGAACCTCAGTCCCCACAGGTTTTTGGCGACACCTACTTCCGCTCAACCGTTCCGCCGAAGGGTACATTTTTCCCCCATTTTTCCTGGAAGGGGTTTTTCCTCGGAAAGAGAAGCTCAGAAAGATAAAGTTACTTCCCTGAAAAGCGTGCTTGTGGTTAGACGCGTCGAATCACACAGTTTATATTTTAATCGCGAACTATTTGTGTAATTATTCATGTGTATAGTGAATTATAAAGTATACTATATTATTCACGTTATAAACAATTCAAACATTTTAAATAAACTTTTTGAACTTTTCCATTTTAAATCGAGTGAACATTACTATTCAATTACCTACACTCGATAAAGTGGGAGTCCTACGTTATTCAAGATCCCCACAGGTTTGTGGTGATCATCAGAGTCATCGTCGATCAAGAAGAATTTCATTTTCAAGCCATCGATAAAGAAGATTTCTATTTATATTTGACATTCAATTTTATTGTTCAATTGTATATTTTAAAAAGAAAAACGTTCGCTATTCATTCCTTAATCAAATTTAAATTCAGCAACACGCATTTCAAAATCAATATCAATAAATCAGTTATTTTTGAAGTTTTAATCTATTAACTAATTTTAAATATAGAGACGCATTCTCTATATATTAACTAATTTTAAATATAGAAACACATTCTCTATAGGTTCTGTCTATGTGCTGCCATCTAACGGTAGAAGATGAAAACTAATTAAACTACAGTTTCAAAAGTGTGTAGTTCACCTTGTTCGATGAAGAGATGGCGCCACTTATTCCGTTTTTGTAAAAATTCAGTTAATACTGATTTTATCGATTAATGTGCTTTATTTTTATGACATATTTATTAATATTGATTTTGTACTATTTTCAATATATTCCGTAACTCCGAAAATGCGGATTATGTGCTGAGAGCAATTCGCACACTATACTGTATCTCGTCGATGATATAGGCAATGACATGAATGTGACAAAAAATTTTTTTCAAGTTGCTAAAAACCATTCTCACAGATATCTTCCTTTGCAAAGAAGAGCTTAGTTGTAAAATTTGGTCGATATCAGCGCATGATGGTTTTCCAAATTTTTACTGAATTTTGGTATAAAGTTATAAAATGAATTACAAATTGACTTTACATACAGAAATCAAAAAGAGATTGACTTTTCCTACAAGTTAGCTTGTAAAAGTGCGAAACGCACTTTTTAGAATTTTTATTTCTCTTACTAGCACAATATAATGACTACAATTCGGTTCTATTGAGATGATAAAATTTTGTATTAGTCTCAGAAAATTATAAAAATTATTAATTTTATAGATAACACGATTTTCTATTTTATTACTACACCTACCTGCCACTAGATGGTCCTGATGTTACTATCATTTTGAATTAACAAATAAAAAATGATTGCATAATTTCAGTTCATTGAATTAATCACTGTGCAATAAAACAGTAGTCTCTTTTTGTAAATACATGAATCATACATGTTAAAAAAAATAATCAATACACATCAGTACATTAATCACTTATATGTTTCTAACCAGGTGTAGAGAGGTAAATAATATAACACTTTAAAAAGCATAACGATTCATTTAATCGTTATATTAACAGTAACAATTTCATGCTGGTCAAACTCATCGTTCTGTATCGTGAACGAAAGTAAATATAAATAGGAGATATCTATTGTACTTTTAACAAAAAAGTGACAAAAAAAACTTTAAACAAACTACAATTACAGTTTCAACACTTCAATGTATCTGCTGTACAGTATAATTTAAATGCAAAAAATTCAGTTACGGGTCAATACCCTGTTGAAACTGTAACTGCGGTTTATTCTTTCTTAATTCTTCCAGTAATCGGTTGGCTTTACTCTTAAAAAGTTTTGCCATCTCTTCACTTTTTTTCACACCATCTCCGATTCTATGCATCTTAGATAGATTGGAACATGCATAAGGGTTTCCTGCTTCGCAAGACTTCAAAGAATATGTGTATGCATCTTTCATACTTTTCTCGACAAATCCTTCTATTCCCCTCATATAAATACCAGATAAATAAAAACAAGCTGAATCAAGATTAGCATCACAAGCTTTCTTTAACACGTCCATTCCAAGAGAAATTTGGGATTCTTTTGAATTTTCTAGATTCTCCTCTGAGATTGCAAAAATACCTGTATCGAGACAACCCTTTGCATCATTGGCCTCACATCCTTTTTTCATGTATTTGTATGCCTCCATAGTATTTCTCTTACACCCTCTACCTATAGTTTTAAATAATGTAGATTTTAATTCAACTCATCACTACTTTATAATAATTAAATTTAGCAGTAAATTAAATGGTAATTGTTAATTGAAAAGTTTTTAAATCAGAAATTAAACTTTACATAATCTGTAATCGAATCTTTTCAAGATGTGATCATATAATAGAACGTTGCAGTTTGAATTGCGTGCCATAACTAACGCGCCATCTGCAATAAACATACCCACATAGACATATTCGCCGTATTTTGTACAACTTCTACCAAAATTGTAGTCGTCACAATTCTTTTTATATATTTTCCCCGCCTCACTGTGATTTACTTTAATTGCTTCGTTATAATCTCCCAGTAGATGACAAACTGTTTAACAACGAAATATCATTTCAGAAAAAGAATCATTAGAAAGGTTAGAATCGCTAGGGCTTCTGGTACCTACCTTCGGGCTTTTTCTCACTGTAACAACCGAATTGATACTCAATATGAAGGTTTTTCAGATATTCTTTAACTTCTTCTTCATCTTTAAAATTGATTCCTGCCATTTCAATTAATAATTATTATGTTTTAATCGAATATTCGTAACGGCGAGTACAATTTAGTTAGGTAAGCACATGTTTTCGATTCTGAACGGCCAATCAAAATGACGAAAAGATATGCGCGCGCAGCCATGATTTTTCGAATGAGCGCAAGTCGACGACGAAGATGTTAGTAATTCACAACTTGCGTGTCAGTTCAGGTGTGATTGTCATACGGTGCACTCTACGTATCAAATTATTCTCGCACAGTACATGAGGACAATTAATCTTTGTCGTTTAAGAATAACTCGCATGCCAAAAAAGAAACTGGATATTTCGTCGCAGTAAGTAGTACTAAAAGATTCGATTGCATCTGTATATCTTATATTAAAATTTTTCTTCAACCTTTCAATTTGTGATTTAAAAAGCTAGTGTATTTAAGCTTTCTCAATTTTTTAGCAAATTTTGTTTGAATCGCGTGCTTTGATGTATTTTATCAGTTAAAGAAGCGAGGAACGAGTTTTTCTTTCAAATTCGCTTGACGCACGCCATTTGTTATCGAGCACCAGTTCGATTTTTGGCGCCAAAATTTAATACCGCGCGAATGAAAAAATTAACTGAAATAACTGTGTAATTTTTATCACACGAAACAAATTGAATTTGAGCAAGAAATATTTTTTTTGTGTATATTATAGATGTAATAATTTAATGATTATATATTAGATGTAGTAATAATTCAGAAAAATCTCACGTATTGCGAAATACTATTTTTATAATTCTTAATTTCTGAATTGTAGAATTTGAATCTTTGCAAGTTCTAAAATTTGAGAGTGTATTATTCAGTTTAAAAATTATTTTTCGATTTAAAAAAATTGAATATTTTTGAATACTCACATTTGAAAATTTGAAAAATTTACTTACCATATAAAGAACCAAAGTTATGTTACACCTGCGACTGTAAACAAGATTACAGGTAGCCTAAGCGTTCTTTCTATTAGGTCAAATTGCAGAATTACTCGGTTAGGGGGCCGTCTTCTTATCTACCCTTCGTGATCAGAATTCATCTACATATCAAGCATGAACGCGTCGTTAAGTACGCGAAATGAATGTTACGTGCATTTAACTTTTACCTAGCCACTTTGTCCTTAACATTCATCGTCAGTGACATATCACCATACAAATTGTTACTCCCACACCTACTATGTATACTTTTTTCATCACTGTCATGTCAGCGACATCTGTACACAATGATATATCACACTCCCATTTAACCTCTTACACTTGACCCACATTTGCCCAATGTCCATTCGAGCATGCGTGGGCATTCACAATATTTGGTATATGGTATGAATATGTTTTACTTGAATCTATAATGTAAACACTTGTTATTTAAATATAAATTATCTGCAGAAAAGCTTGTACATACTACATGTTGAGACATGAAATATATTAGAATTACAGGCCATTTGTTATTCTTTGTACATCAGTTATGGCTTCTGACATTTATGAATGCACATTTATGAATATGTACCTAGACAATAGAAGTTATTTATATATTTTTAACCTTTACTTTACTGATACCTGAAAGTACACATTTATTTTAAATACAATAAACAATGTCATTATGTACAAGTCACAGTTAAATTACAAGTATAACTATTATTGTAATATTAATTATTTATAATTTAATATATAAATATATTTGATACATTTAATATATAATTTAAGAAAAAAATCATTATTATAATTCAAAAGAAATGAAAAGTAAGAATATAAGGTATTCTGATGCAAAAATCGCAGACTTGTCATGGCAGTAAATTAATTTATCCTTGAGAAGTCTATTCTTGTTTTTTATCGTAAAATCGATTGATTTATTCGTTTAGTTTTTTCCATGAACAATTTGTCCAGTTTTCGACATTTGACGCCTTTAAATAGACATCGTGTTTTGCCGGAGCACATTACTTTTTTTCGCTCGTTCAGTATTCCGTTCGTGTGTCAGTGGAATGTGTAGGTTGCCCTTGAACCCACTTATTTGTTGAATCACCCTAAATTGTGGCGTGTCTGACCACGTACACGTTTCTCTGCAGTAACTACAGTTAAGAAAATCGTATGTCCAGTTATGTTATTCGGAATTACGTAATTCAACAAGAACATCTAATTACATAGGTTTGTAATTTACAAAGAACGTGCATCTTAATAATGAAATAAAAATAACATTACTAAGTTATGAAAAACAAACAGTAATTAGAATTACTGTGTCAAGTTTATAATAAATATTTTAATCTTTGCTCTAGTTTCTATATTTCTGAATTTTTGTATTCTCCAAATTTCAATAATTCTAAATCTTTATAATTCCAAATGTTTATATTTCCAAATTTCTTTATTTGCAGATCTTTATATTTCTCGATTTCTATATTTTCAAATTTCTATCTAACTATAAATTTGAACATTTCTGTATCTTTAATTATTATATCCCCAAAATGTGTATATGTATTTCCAAATTTCTGTAATTCTAAATTTCTATATTTCTAATATCCATATTTTTAATTTTTACATATCTATATTTTCAAATTTCTATATTCACAGATCTCAATATTCCTCACTTCTTATATTATCAAATCCTTATATTCCCAAATTTCTATATTCCCAGATTTCTATATTTCTCAATTTTTATCTGAATCTCCATATCCCCAAACCTTTACGGTCCAAATGTCTATATCCCAAAACTTTTGCATTCCATAATCTCTATATTCTTAAACTCTTACAAGACCAAATTTCTATATTTGCACATTTTTACACTCTCCAACTTTTACTAAATACTATTTTCAATGAAAAATTCTAATAGTGACCATTTGCAAGATTCCAAATTCCTAAATTCCCAAATTATGAAATTTCTAAAATCCGAAAAGCAACTTTGTTGCAGATCTCTTTTTAATTTTGAATGATGCTTTCAAGTGTCTCTCCCTGCCCCCTCCTCATCCACCCATGATAAAAAGTAGGTATAACAAGAAAGCGAATGGTACCTCAGATGTTCTGTAAAGCCTATTGCTTCTATAGACTAACTAGAAATTTAAATTAAATAAATTTGTCACCCTCTAATAATTAGAAATCTATGTAAATTTTCTGCATATTACTAACATTGAGTTTTGAAATATATACATCAATTTTACTAAATTGAAGAGTCGATAAGGGCATATACTAAAATGATTGTCCTACAAAACATATTTGAAAAATATTGCAGAAACCATTATTACAAATAGCTTATAAAGAAATGATGAATATATTTATTGCAATAAAATAACAAAATACTTATTATAAATAAATTACTGATAAATGTGTTAGAAAGGACTTAATTACAAATTATAAATAAATAAAGTATTTCTTATAAACAAGTTACAAATTACAGATGAATGTGCAGATAAAGCATTGTTTGCAGAAAGTACTTGCATACTATGTACATTTTTCAGAATACGCGAATCTCGTAGACCATTTAACCTGGTATTATTCATCTCCCTAAAAATAGTTTCTTTGTCAGAATGTCGCGTCTTGTACCTACTGTCATGGTGCGCTATAAGTAACGCGAATCGAAGAAAGTTTAAAACTGGTTTTCTTTCATTTCCAGATGTCGGAGTCCGTGAAAGTGGCCGTGAGATGTCGGCCGATGAACGCTCGGGAATTGCAACAGGGATGCAGGGTACGTCAGCAATGGCGAAGGACAATGAACGAGAGCCACTCGCATGATCTTGCACGCGAGCACACAGCACTTCCGCTTGTTTCTTCTTTTGTTTATCCACCTGAATGCACGGAAAACTCGTCATATCGAGCGCGTTGTAGCCTAGCGACCATATCAAAACATTCCACTGGCATGCATCGACGTTGCAATTTTCCTGCAAGATGATTCTTCGTGTACAGATATTTAGATGTTTGAATTGTGATGTTGGCACAAAAATGCGTAATAGAATTATGATTCATAGAAGCGGAGAGAGTGACGCGGACAATGTGGGGCAGTTGTATAAAAGTACAGAGATTGAGTGGTACTTTTGAGATGTACTATTTGGAGGAGAATATATTAGTGACATTGTAGTAAATTATGTTGCTAATAACTTATAATACTATATATTACTAATATATATTGTAATATATAATGCTATTAATAAATGATATCAATGAATAATATTAGTAATTATTAATAATATTGATATTGGATAAATATGTATGTATATAGAGATAGGATGTATGATTAGGTTTGAGGAGTTGAAAAGGATTTGTATTGTTGAAGTGAATTGGGGATTAGAAAATTTGAGAAATTGAAAGAGTAGAAATTTTAAGATTTCAGGGTTTGGGAAGTTAGAAATTTAAAGATTTGAGAATTTGGGAAATAAGAAATCGGAAATTTGAGAGTTTGGGAATTTAGAAATTGGGAATTTGAGAATTTGAGACTTTAGAAATTTGAAGATTTGAGAATTTGAAAGTTTAAAAATTTGGAGACTTAAGTATCTGATAATTTAGAAACTTGGAGATTTGAGAATTTGGAAGTTTATGAATTTTCAAATTCCCGAACCAAGGAAATGCCAAATTGCTAAATTACGAAATTTCCAAATCCCCAATATCCAGCATTTTTAATTTCCCAAATTCCAATGTTCCGATTTCTCAAATCCCAATTTCTTAAATCCCAATTTCTCAAATCCCCAATATCTAGCATTTTCAATTTCCCAAATCCCAATTACCCAAATCCCAATTTTCCAAATCCCAATTTCGTAAATCCTATTTTTCCAAATCCCAATTTTCCAATTCCCAATTTCCTAAATCCCAATTTTTCAAATCCCAATTTCCCAAATCCCAATTTCCCAGATCCCAATTTCCCAAATCCCAATTTCCCAAATCCCAATTTCCCAAATTCCAATTTCCCAAATCCCCGATTTCTCAAATCCTGACTTCTTCCTTAAATTTCCAAGTTTTCAGTTACACTAATTTCCCAATATCCAAACCTTTAATTTCCAAATTCTCAAATTTCGAACCTCCTAAATTCTTAAATTTTTAAATATACCAAATTTCTAATTCCCAAATTTCCACATTCAGAATATTGTGTGAACTTGAAAAATAAATAATTTTGACTAATCCTACCTTTCATTTCATACTTTTGTCACAATTTTCTATAAATGCAGGTACGTATATTTGTTTTTAGAACAAAATTATACGTTTTATATATTTTATTGCTGGTACAGATTTAGTACGCCCTTGACGGTTTGAATAACTGTCAATGTTACTCGAGATAGCGTGTGAGGTTGAATTTTTTATCAGATTGGAACTGTCTGTCTTCAGTTTGATGTACAATAATTTTACATGTAGGCATTAGATATGATGGGCTGACTCCTATTACACTAGTTTACTCACATTTCCAAGTATTCACAAGGTTTCATTCGACATTCTTAAATTTGAATTATTTTGTTGCATTTATAACAACTAACTTAACAAACTATTAATTATATAACTTATTTTATAATAAAATTTCAAACTCAATTTTTTGCATTATTTTGAATGACATAAGTAATAATTTATTGCATTTATATTTATATTTTATAATAAAATTTTAAACTCAATTTTTTGCGACATTTTAAATACCATAAGGTTTAATTAATTACATAATACATTTTGTAATAAATTTTCAAACTCAATATTCTGCAACATTATAAATAATATCAGAAATAATTAATTCTATAATACATCTTCCAATATCACTCAAAATTCAATCTCTTGTAATGTTATGAATAACGTAAGAAATAATTATACAATATATTTCATAACAAAACTTCAAACTTAATGTCCTGTAAAGTTACAAATCTTCTTATATTTTTATACAACAAATTTTATTTATAGAATATTCTGTCTTATACAAAAATCATTTGCACCCCTTTTATTTCTAAATAAATAATTTCCTACAGTGTTTTACAATATTTTACTTTATTCAGATTATTATCAAATGTTCTAAATAACCATCTAGAATTTAATGTTATAAATAACGTCAGAAATAATTATACACGGTGGCTCGCTACATTCTGCCATCTAGATTTGCGTCATTATTATTACTCATAGCAAACAATGTTTTAGATGAAGTTGAATGGTTTTGAGGGTGGTATATGCTGGTGGTATATTTTTTTGCAGGTGGACCTGTAAAGGACATATGAAGGTCATTAATGTGTTTTTAAATGGAATGTATATTTTTTATTGCATCAGCTGATACTCCTTCATATTCTTTGCAAAAGAATACTAATCTATTTATGTGAAAAAAATCATTAGTTTAGAAGATATTTTAATTCTAACTTGTTAGGAAATCTTAACTTTCTCGTCAATATTATGAATTGCCCTAAGTGAACAGCAAATGTTTTTCTACATGCTTTGAGAGGTCACGTGTCACCAAACGAATTGTGAGTTTTTGTTTTTTTTTTTTGTTACACAGTAACAGTGAAATTTTGTCTCTGTTACGGCTCTATACGATGAATACGACGACACGGTAAATTATCACTTCATAATGAAGTATTCTAAAGAAGAAAAGATAGACACGTTACACATACAGTATTTAATGTCCTGTAAAGTTACAAATCTTCTTATAATTTTATACAACAAATTTTATTTACAGAATATTTTATCTCATACAAAAATCAGTTGCACCCTTTTTATTTCTAAACAAAGAATCGCTTACAATATTTTACAACACCCAGATTATTATCGAATATTATAAATGACCATGTTGAATATTCACGTATACATTAATTTAATTATGAAATCTGTAATAAATCAGCGGAAAAATATGCCTTACAGTCCAACCCACCCCTGGACGTTTCCCCTTTCATTTACCCCAACGCACAATTTCTCCCTCGATAAGAATGCAAAATAAATCCCAAGGAACACCGCAATAATTCCATCGTTTCTATATCAACTGTGTTTCGCTGCTTTTTTGCACGCGTATTTGTTCGTGAATCATGCGATTGTAAAACGATTGTGAATCACGTAAAGTCACACTTGTAACGAACGTACGTGTACTTACGTGTGTGTAAGTGTGACTGCGTGGGACTGTGTCACTAGCTGTGTCGTCATGTATGAACGGTGAAAAAAAGAAGAAAAACGATATAGTGCTGTATGTACCTTCATCGATTTGGCATATATTCCGTTTCATCGATAAGCATGTGAACGTACGTAGATACACAGTCACGTTTAAAAGTTGTAGAACACGGTGTTTCGATTTACACTATGTGTAATTTACACCGTCTGTAAGTTTTCGGAATACATTTATTTTAACTATGGATTTATGTTACTGCGACGGTACACAGTACACTATGTGTACTAATAAAATATGAATTTTCATATGGATTTTTGATTATTCGAGTCTTGGGGTCTTCGGATTTTGAGATTTTTAAATTTTGGGACTGAGATTTTGAAATTTTAGAATTTTTGAGGGACTCGGGATTGTAGGAGTTTGAGGTTTTGGGACCATGAAGGGTATCGAAGTGATTAAATTGAAAAAATTAGAAATTCCAATTCTGGAATTGGTATAAACCAGTGTTGCAACATTCTGCAATTTCAAAATTTGTAGATCTTAAAATTACAAGGTTTCTAAATTTTAAAAAATTTGAAAATAGCCAAATTCCCAAAATTGCAAAATCTCATGGCACTAAAATTTTTCATTCCTAAAATTTAGTATTCCCAATATTCTAAAATTTTCAAATTCTGAAAAAATTCAAAAATTCTAAAACTTCAATATCCCATAATTTTTAAATCATAAAATTCAAAAATTCAAAAAATTTCAAAATCTCAAAATTCCAACATCCTAAAATGTCTAAAATTTTTAACGACCAAAAAATCTCAGAATTTCAAAATCCCAAAATTAATAAATTCTAAAATCTTAAAATTCAAAAGTCCCCAAATCCAAAAAGTCTTAAAATCTCAAAATTCAAAAATCCTAAATCCCCAAAAATCCAAAGTTTCCCACTTCAAACGTCTAAAAATACCAATCTTCAGATTCTAAAATCCAAAATACCCAAAATTCCAAATTTCCAGAAATGTTTAATAATTTTTTAATGAGACTGTATACACATAGAGGTAAAACGATGTGGTTCGATACCGCTATCTATGCACCGTGTATGCACCGTTCAGTTAGCGTGCTTACGTTTCTCGTTGCCTGCTGAATATATTATGGAATAGTAAATTTGATGACGACTCATGGTACACGTTGTATGGTAGTTCATGAAGCAACATTGAAGGAAAAATCTGGTTATGAGAACACGGTATTTTTTTCTCTAAAAAGTCAAACATGTTACGGTGGCTTCTGTTTGTTAAGTCTGAAGCTTAATGATCAGATATCAAATGTAGTACTAACGCTTTTTTGACTGAATAAAATTGATTAATCTTACGATAATTTATTAATTTGAAAGGTTTGAGATCCGTTGGAAATTTGAAGATCACTTCTATGAAGCTTGTTCTTTAATTGTTAAATGGCACAAGCTTATTTGTTTATAGAAGCTTGCTAGAGACAAGTACAGCTCTTGGCCATCGAATTAGGACCACGTACGAAAGTTTCACTTTTATGACTATAACATTATGTCATATATGGAAAATTATTTTAGATCATGCAAAATTATTACGGAATACGTTGATAATGATATACACATAGCAATTTGTTACTATCGTGATAATAAATTGTGTGGGTGATGAGCGATTATGAGATGCGCAAGCATTTACGTTAGGTTCGAGTATCGATAGCACATGAAATGAAATTTGAATGCCATAGAAAATGTCTACCTACTCTAAAGACTAGTTTACAACTATCCAACCACATTATCTTAGTTGAAAAGAATTACAGATATTTGGGAAAATAATGAAGATATAAAGCATATAATCAATGTATACAGAGCATGCCAGATACAAGCTGTGATCAAAGCAAAGGGCGGAAATACAAGATTTTAACATGCGTTAATAATGTTATGAACAGTAGCAGTGTATCATGTTAGTAGCTAATAAATTATATCATTACAATTTGAATAGACCTTTCAATTTTACGGAAAACGTGAAAAATGCTGAAAATTTACAGTGGTCCTAATTCGATGGCCGGGTACCATCAAAATATTATTGTGCAACACACCGAGATTCAACAATTTTAGACTCCCTTCAGAATAACTTGAGCAAGTGAAGTATTTTTGTTAAAGTTACAATAATTAACCCCTTCCCGTGCTTTGACGAGTCTCACTCGCGACGCACTCACAACTCAAATGTGATTAATGTTACTCAAATTTTGAATACTCTTTAACTTGAAGTTTAGACCCAACTATAATTTGCATTGTCAAGGATCCCTGAATATAGAATACTTAGAACATTTTAATTTTCTTTGTTCGTTTTAATGTTATAGTCCTGAATGGTTAGTCTTGACTGACGCACCTCATAAATAAATGGCATGGCAAGAGGTTAATGTTGTATCATTTTTAAATAGTAACGTTCTTTTAGATTCGTTAAATGCTGAAGACTTCAAATTAATACTTCTTATTAATTTTATTTGAATATTGAAATGAAGTATTGTGTGTTTCCAAACAATGTACGGTAGTAATGTATCATGTTACTAGCTAATAAATTATATCATTACAATTCGAAGATACCTTTTAATTTTGTGGAAAGTCTGTAAAATGCTAAAAAAGCGCTAATTCAATGGTCAGGAACTGTATAAGATGATGTGAGGCCAAGATGGATGTCTAAATTGAAAATTGTCCATGTGTTTGCATATATAAAATAATTATTTGTTTTACATTATAGTAAGCTTGAAAAAGGAGACTTGAAAAGCAACTGTGTCAAAGAACATTCGTTTCCAGAAATTTGAAAATTTGAGAATTTGGAAATATAAGAACTTGAAAATTTGATAATTTGACAATTTGGAAATGTGAGAATTTGAAAATTTAAGAATTTAAAAATTTGTGAATTTGAGAATTTGAGAATTTGGAAATTTGCAAATTTAGGAATTTAAGAATTTGGAAATGTAAGAATTTGAAAATTTAAGAATTTAAAAATTTGAGAATTTGGAAATTTGCAAATTTAGGAATTTAAGAATTTGGAAATGTAAAAATTTGAAAATTTGGAAACTTGAGAATTTGAAACCTTGAGAATTTTAATATTTGAAGAAGTAGACTAAATATAATACCATAAAAAATAGCGATAGCAGTGATCTACTTTCAAAATATAAGACAATCTAAAAAATAGATATTGATTATTTTTTCTCCACTTTATATTTTTATATATCATGCACAGAATTATTTGACAAAATTGAGCTTTTTGTATCTTTCAAATTACCATTAAAATTTCAAATATTACCAAATAATTTAATATTATTATTACAAAAATGTCGCTTCCGTAAGGTCCTGTCGAGACTTTGAAATTCCTAATTATTTTCCATGTAATTAATGTCTTCGGTGATGACTGTTAATGAAAATTGTGATATAGCGTGTTTACTTGCACCCAAATTAGCTCCTTGATTTATAACAACTCGTGACGCACCATACAATTCAAATGTGTCAAACTTAAATCATTCTTGCGTAAACATCGAGTTTTGAATTCGATACTAAGGTGAAGTGGGGTAAGTTCGTAAACGGGGCAGTGTATATACAAGCTATTTTTATTACAGTATGAGCGAAATTTCTCCATTTAGTATGTTTGTTTCCTTGTTTTGTTTCACGATATCCCCTTTTATATTTCAGCTACGAGTACTTGTTTGCAGTACAGAGTACTTGCATAATGCAGTAAAAAGCATTTTATAGCAGATTTGTTAATAATTCTGCTCTTGCCCCATTGCACATGAAATAAAGTTTCAAAGTATTTAACTTCAAGTTACGCTCTTACTCCATTTTCGGGGAAAGTGCAGAGTAGTTGACATTTTAAACAATTTCCTATCAAAATCAAAGTGTACAAGGAATATTAATGTACAAGGAATATTATGGTCCTAGTTAATGTTAATTAAATCGTAGTAATTGTGCAAAGCGTTCGATATCGACAGCGTTAAGTATTTACATAGCAGATTGAAAAGACTTACGTTTAAATATCAACTTTACAAAAACCAGTCTGTACTTACCCCACTTCACCTTAATTGAAGATCGCTAAATTCGAAAAATACTTAACATTTCAACGTTCTTTATTTCCCTTAACACTGCAGTGTTAGGTAGCTCTTACTGACACAACTGCCGAAAAACTCGTAGGATCAAAGGTTAAGTATTTCAAAAAATTCACACAAATTAAGAGAATTTTTAAGGAATTCAGTAAAAGAATGGTTAATAAACACACGTAAAATTACGTTATATGCAGGTTATATGAAATGTGCACTTCGCCACGAGTTAAAAGGCAATAAAGTTTCAAATTACCGGAAGTCTACTGTTTCCGCGAAGTCGAATCGATAAGAAGTATAAAGCGATCAGCAAACCGATGCTACGAATGATGAACACGTTCTCATTGCAATATTACACAGCATTTCACGGAATGCAAATCAATTATTGATATTGCGATCATTTCGGAAATAACAATTTAAATTAAACTAGTTTTGAGATAATATTAATGAGATGTATTTGAATTTCTTTCGAAATTTGAAAAGTTTTAAAATTCCTGAGTTTCAACACAAAATTTCAAATTTATAAAATGACAAAATTACAAATTTATGAAATCCAAAATCGTACTTAAAAAATTTTTTAATTTAAAACTTAAAAAAACAATATTCCAAACTTCTCATATGCAAAGATATACTTTCAAAATTCCAAAACTTCAAACTTAAAAAACTGTAAAATTCCAAACTTCTAAATTCTACAAACATATTTTCAAAATTCCAAAATTTCAAACTTAAAAAACCATAACATTTCAAATTTCTCATATGAAAAAACATACTTTAAAAATTCCAGAATTCCAAACTTAAAAAACTGCAAAATTCCGAACTTCTAAATTCTGCAAACATATTTTCAAAATTCAAAAATTTCAAACTTAAAAAACCATAAAATTCCAAACTTCTAAATTCTACAAACATACTTTCAATATTCAAAAATTTCAAACTTAAAAAACTACAAAATTCCAAACTTCTAAATTCTACAAACATACTTTAAAAATTCAAAAATTTCAAACTTAAAAAAACCATAAAATTCCAAACTTCAAAATTCTACAAACATACTTTAAAAATTCCAAAATTACAAACTTAGAACACCACACAATTATCACTTTTTAAAATTTCAAGATTCCTTTTCGAACTGAAAATCTACAAAATTCGAAAGTCTCAAAACTCCAAACTTTGAAACTCTTAAATTTTCAAAACTTTGAATCTCCCAAAACTTTCAAAATTCCAATACCCCAAAGTCCCAAAACTGCAAACCTTGTCACAAAAGTTCCCATGCCTCAATATATCAACCTTCCCCCCACCCCTCACGTTTTCAAAAAGAGTCCCATGCATTAACCTCGCATATAAAAGCGTGCATTAACCAAGCCTATACTACCCCAACCGTCCCTCTACCTAACCTAATCTAACCTAACCTAACCGTTGAATCAACCTACCCTTAAACCTTTCGCTTCGGCTGTCTAGTCCGAAGTACTGTAACTGAACAGAAGCGCGTACCCACAAGTGATATTATGCACGCCGCTTATAAGTGGCGCTCGTACCCACAGGTCATATTGTGCGCGCCGCTTGTAAGCGGCGCTCGAAGCGAAAGGGTTAAATCTTCATCTTCAAATTCCACTCATCTTTATTTACCTCTCCAGAACGTGATAACGATCGACTCACCATCGAAATGCTGCACCCTGGAGAGTCCCTCTGGCTTGACCGGTGGCGGGAAGGTGTACCAGTTCGACGCAACGTTCGGTCCGGACGCAAGCACGGAAACAGTCTACGAGAACGTCGGTTCTGTGATCGTGGAAGCAGTGCTGGACGGCTACAACGGGACAGTGTTCGCCTACGGGCAAACGGGCTGCGGGAAATCGCATACGATGCGCGGGTTCATCGAGCGAACCTTAGACCACATCTTCGAGGCTACGTCGACAGCCAGCTCGGAGATGAGGTACCTGGCGCTGCTGAGCTACCTGGAGATCTACAACGAGCGTCTGAGAGACCTCCTTCAAGACGGCATCAGCGACCTCCTGACGCTGAAGGAGGATCCCAACCGGGGTACTTACGTGGCGGGCGGTTTGAAAGAGGTCACCGTTAAGGACGCCGCGGAGTGCGCACGTCTGGTGGAGCAGGGCGATAAAAGGAGAGCCGCGGCGGCTACCAAGATGAACGCTGCGAGCTCCAGGAGCCACGCGGTGCTGACACTGTCCCTGGAGACATTGGCCATCAACGATGATAGTAAAACGGAAAATACTGTGAAGAGGGGAAGACTGCACCTGGTGGACCTGGCTGGGTCCGAGAGACAGGCGAGGACGGGGGCCACAGGTGACCGATTGAAGGAGGCAGCTAGTATTAATTTGAGTCTATCGGCTCTGGGGAATGTCATCAGCGCGCTGGCGGCAGGGCAGGGCAGACATGTGCCGTACAGGTATCTTCATTGAGTATACGGGGTTCCTTTGACCCTCATGTAGGAAACCGATGTAGGAGATAACGTATGTTGGGGATATTTTTATTGTGAGACGGTAAATCGGTGGCTAATCTTTTGAACAATAGGACTATTTATATTATAAACGGAAATATGGGAATCAAGAATGAGGATACTTCGTACTTACTGGTTCTGAGGGGTTTTTGAAAACATAGGATCTTGGGTACTTTAAGATTTGAAGACTTTATAATTTAGGGAGCTGGGAATATGGGAATATTGAAAATTGACAGAGATATTAGAGAGTAGGAGTTTAAAGGCATTCGAATTTGGAGATGTAGTTTATGGATCTACATAGGGACATGGGAATCTACAAATTTAGAAGTCTAGTAATTTAAGGATCTAGAAATTTGGAAATTATGAATTTGAAAATGTTGGAATTCGAGATATAGGTACAATAAAATTGAGGAATTTGACGATCTAGAGCGCTAAAAAACTGGAAATCTAGAAATTTGAAGGTGCAGACATTTGGGGACATTAGGATTTGAGGATTTTTTAATTTAGGAAATCTGGAGATATGGGAATCCAAGGGATTAGAGAATCCCTTGATTCTAGAAACTTGAGAATTTAACAATTTAGGAAGATTGGGAGTAGAACAATTTGGAAATGTAGAAATGTGAAGGTTCCTATATTTGGTATCTTCGGAATATATGGATCTCTGGACTTGGGTATAGTGAAATTTGATAATTTGAATATTTATAAAACTTAGCATTTTGAAAATGTCAAAATTTGCAAAGTCGAAAATGTAAAGAATTAGGCAATATGATGATTTAGGGATTTGTGGACCTGAGAAGGTGGAAATCTAGGAATTTTTGTATTATGGAATATCAAAATAAAAAGATTACATGATTCAGAAATTTGAAAATCTAGTAATTTAAGAATTAAGGAATATGAGAACGTTATTATTTGGGGATTTTTATATTTGGATAATCTCAAAGAAGAATTTTCAAATTTTCAAATTTTAGAATTTGCAAATTCAAAAGTTTAAAAATTTGAAAATTTACAATACTATGTAAGTCCCAGTATTTATAAATTCCCAAATTTGCATATGTGTCCCGATCCAAAGAGAGTCCACACCACACCTCAGAATTCGTCAAAAACATTGTATAAGAATTAACGACTACATTTTACTCATGAATTTCTAGAGACAGCAAGCTGACAAGGCTCCTGCGAGACAGTTTGGGCGGCAACGCGAGAACGTTAATGATTGCTTGCGTGAGCCCCAGCGACATCGACGCCGAAGAGACGCTAAGCACCCTGCGTTACGCTGCCAGAGCTCGCTGCATCAAGAACAAACCTGTGATCAATGAGGACCCTAAGGACGCTCTCCTAAGACAATACCAATTAGAGTTACAACGTTTGAAGAAGCTACTGGAGTCCGGGGACCAAACGATCCTGAAGGAGATCACCGGCAAGGACGACAACGACGAGGATGAAACAGCTAGACAAAAGCAATACGCAGAAGAGGTCGAGAGATTGAAGAAAGAGTGCGAACACTCGAATTTATCCGCTCAGAAGTTGCGAGAGGAGTTGGAGGCTCTGAAGATTCACTATGAATCTGGATTAAACAGGGTTGCGAGTCCCAAGCCCGTTGTTCAGCCCTTGATGGACGAACAGGATCGGGAGAGGGAGGAGAGACGCAGGAAGAAGAGGGAGGCGGCCATGCAAGAGGTGCTCAAGAGGCTGGAGAAACTGACTATTGGCGGAGAGGAACAAGGGAATACGGAACTGAGAAGGAGAAGGGAGAAGAGGCGGAAGAAGCTGGAAGCTCTGGCTTCGGCTTTGGAGTCCAGCGCCCAGGAGGGCAACGGAAGCGTCTTCCAAGTGTACGGGCAACTCAGGTTCGTTGAGTTATGATGTAAATTATTAGGTGTAATATGCATTATTTTCAAAGTGGTGTAATATTCTTTAGTTTTGAGAAAATTAAAGGTTGACATATTGGACAATTAAAAAATACCTCACCATCGAATTAGGACCACGTACGAAAATTTCAATTTTATGGCTATAACATTATTTCATTTATGAAAAATTGTTTTAGTACGTTGATAATGATATATAAATAGCAATTTTCAAAATGGACAGTCCATATGATCTATTGACCCTCTACCGTACATTATCGTCTTCCACGCGCATATCATTCACCCTTCAACTGTTACAAAACTTACTCGAATTTTTAATACGCTTTAATTTGCAGGGTAATTATAATTTGCATTGTCAAGGGTTGCTGAATACAAAATTGGCATAATATTTTATTATGTTATTAACAGTTTTATTAACTGTTTTTATTTTTTTTTAATATTGTAACTGTAATTACTCAATTCCGACTGATGCACCTGACAAATAAATCGTAAAACAAAGGGTTGAGTGCCGAGATCAGGGGAGAAGTATTTTATTGGTAAGGATTTGAGGAATTCAAACCGAAACGTTGATGTGGATCAATATTGAATCTAATGTGGCCTATTGATTGTGGGAATTGAGACCAGGGAAGGAGGACCTCATTGGGAAGGGTGGAATTCGAGAAATTGGGGATTCCGAAGTCTAGGGTGTTTGGGAATTTGAGGCTTTGAGAGAGCTGAGATTTGAAGATTTGGAAATTTGAAGAAATTTTGGAATTTTGGAGTTTGGAAATTTGAGAATTTGAGAATATAGGAATATGGAATATGGGAATTTGAAAATTTAGGAATTTGCGAATTAGAAATTTGGGATTTGGGAATTCGGGAATTTGAGAATTTGAGAATTTGAGAATTTGAGAATTTGAAATTTGGGAATTTGGGGATTTGAGGTTTGGGAATTTGGGAACTTAGAAATTTGGGTTTTGGGAATTTGGGAATTGGGAATTTCGGATTTGGGAATTTCGAATTTGGGAATTTGGGGTTTGAGAATTTGGGAACTTGGGAGTTTGGGAATTCGGAAATTCGGGAATTTGGGAATTCAGGAATTCGAAAATTTGGAAATTTTGGATTTGGGATTTGGAATATGGGATATAGGATTTGGGATTTGAGATATGAGAATTTCAATATTTGAGAATTTTCAAATGTAAGAGGTCAGAAATTTAAAAATTTAAAAATTTAGGAATTTGAGAATTCGAAAATATGGGAATATGAGAATTTTGGAATTTCGGAATTTGAAAATTCGAGAAACTGAAAATTTGAGAATTTGAGAACTAAAGAAATTGGGAATTTCAAAATTTGATGATTTAGGAATTTAATAATTTGAGTGTTTGGAGAATTAGGAATTTGGGAACTTGAAAAAAATGGAAATTTGGAAACTCGTGGATTTACGAATTTCGAAATCCAGAAATTTATAAATTTATTGATACTATTGATACTTATTTGATCTACTATATTTACCACGTTGCTCAAACAATTACATTAAGTATATAAAAACAGTAGTCGCAATATTTTTTGCACGTTACAGAACATTCGCATTATTGAAACTCACGTTATATGGAACTCTCCTGTACAAGTATAATAATATACGACAGCATAATAGCAATACACTAGTTTCATTATCCCTGGTCCTGCAAGGGTACTCAAAGCCCTCAGATAAAAATCCAGTGTTACGCTCTTTATCAAAATGAATTTGCCATTTAATAAAACTCGCAAAATGGTCACGAAACGAGTACCGTACATGACCTTACAGATTTCGTGACACAAACAGCGCTGCAGTAAATGCAGCTAATAGCATGTTACAATATCATAATAATATAGTAGACTAGATAAAATAACACACCAGTCGTCCATTAGTCTAACACCGTCGTATAATAACATGCTAATACTACAGTTGTATAACATAATCGACATTTCTTCATCTCCGTAGGTCAACGGAAGACGCGTTGAAGCGGATGGCGAAGCGTGTCAAGCAACTAGAAGCGGAAGCTGCCGACCTCCAAGCTTCCTGGGACGCGGAACGACGGGACCTTCTGCGCAGGGAATTGCTCACGACGCAAATATGCGACTCGATGGTTCCACATCTTCGCCCAGGATGTCCACTGCGCGATGTGGCCGCCGTTAGGGCAGCTGCCACATGGTGCGACGAGTTGGGCCGTTGGAGGTTACCGGATGTGTCGCCGCACATACCGCTTCCGCCGCCATCGCTGATGCCCAAAGACAATACACAGTACTCAATAATGCCTTCCAAACCTGATCTCAACAACAATAGCAAGGATAACGAGGACGAGATTGGAAACGAGGCTGATAACGAGGAGAGCAGCGAACAGGAAGATGCCAAAAAAGTGGACATCGTTGATACGTATTTCAAGAGGAACAGAATCGATAAACTGCTTGCTCATGTTAAGCTAGCGAAAAGTTTTGGTAAGTTTAGATTTGGTTGGTATTTTCAAGGGTTTGAAGGATTTATGGTAGCGGGGGATTTTTATGGAAAATTTTTAGTGGAGTTTAATTTGAGTTTATTTTGGGGTTTTTTGAAGATTTTGAAATTTGGGAATTAGGGATTTGGAGGATTCGGAATTTTTAGGGATTTAGCAAATTTAGAGTTTTTAGTTTAGAAATTAGGAGATCTGAGAATTCTGCAATTTCAGAATTTATGAATTTTAGGGATTTGAGGATATAGATATTTAAAATTTGTAGATTTGAGAATTCCAGAATTTAGGAATCACAGAACTTGCAAATTTGGAAATTTAAAAACTGGAAAATTTAGGAATAAGGGAATTTGCAAATTTGTGATTTTGGGAATTTTAAAATTTAGGAATTCAGGATTAGGATTTTGAGAATTCAGACATTTAGGAATTTGAGAATTTGAGAATTCCAGAATTTGAAGATTCGGGAATTCAAAAATTTAGGAATTTAAGAACTTGCAAATTTGGGTATATGAGAATTTGAAAATTTATGTATCTGAGAATGTCATGATTTAGAATTTTGGAAATTAGAGAATTTAAGAATTTGAAAAATTGCAGATCTAATTGTTTGGCAATTTAAAAATTAATTAGAGGCTTTGAAAGTTTGAAAATTTCGCAATTTGAAATTTAAATTACAAAAATTTTAAAAACTTCATCTTCAAAGTTTCAAAATTGAAAAATTGAGGATTTGAAACTATAAAAATCTAAATTTGCAATTTCAAATTTGGGAATTTGATCAATTGAATCTACAAGCACGGAAATTAGAAACTCGACTGTGAGTTAATAATTTGTTATTCTAAATATTTCATTTTCGAACTTAAAACTAACACTGGATGGAATAAAATGACACAAAACATCGCTGTGAACACTACATTTCATAAAAGTTTTCAACACATTTCAAAAAGGGGTCCACAAAATATTACGAAAATAAACTACACTTCATAAAACATGTAAACACATTCCAAAAAGGAGTCCACAAAATATTGCGAAAATAAACGCTACACTTCATAAAACATTTAAACACATTCCGAAAAGGAATCTAATCTAACATACCCATGTACGCAATATAACGTACTTTATGAACATAATAAATCAATAAATAATCACTTCCTCTTATCACAGGACACCTGTTCGACTGTAACTCCTCCAATATTATATCATTCATGACGACACATAAAAGTCACGTAACACCATAATCACTTTACAGGACCAAGTAACCGCATCAGCAAATCGGGTGGTTCGGAAGATTGTATACCAATGGGGGGCGGCCATCTTCAATTGAACGCTTTAAATCTGCAAACTAGTGCACCGGTGATCGGTGACATAGACAGTTACAAACCCACCCAAAATATACCAACTGGTAGAATTAGTCGTCCTGGTTGGATGTCGGATGACAACTCGCTGAACAAAGGTTCCTTCGTAAAGAAACATCCTCCTCGTATTTTGGAAGCGTTGCCTTCGTACCCGCAAAGTGCCTTCAAATTTAATAACAAATCCATCTCGGATAAAATGTCATCAAGTTTTATCCACAATGGCGTGACGGATAATCCAATGGTTGGACACACTGATTCCACTATGTATTGAAATTGACATCAAGGATGATGATGATTGGGAACAGCGGATTAGACGAATTTTTGGAAGGTGTTTGTGAGGTGATTTGATTGAACAAAATAAGTAAAAAAGTGCACGAAAATGTTTGAACATTTTCGTGATATGTCATATTTTTGTCATGTGGTAATGAAATATGTGAATAATTAGAAGCCAATTTGTGTGTTTTGACTGTCCGGAGAGTCGGCGATGCAATGTAGACCGTAGAGTATAGAACGTAGGTTATTTTTATGAAGATTTTTAACTTTTGTAAAATTGCAATACAATTGAGTGCAGAGATATAGTATTACAATGGAAGGTCAGGAATTTTTATACTTGGAAATTTATGAATTTTAGCGTTTGAAAATTTGATTACTCGAAAATTCAAATACAACGTTTTATTAGTCGAAAATTCAAATATTTTACAATACTCTAATGCTTGAAAATTTTAATTTAGTTATTATTTTAATATTCGAAAATGGGAGCTGAAATTGCAAAATGGGAGATAAAACAAATATTCATTTCGTCTGCAGGAATATATCATTCCACGAATTTTTTCCAATTTTCCGCATTGCCACGTGTAATATTTTTAAATAATCGCATATTTTTATTATCAACGTTTCAACAAACAAATGTTCGAATACTTTCGTAAATAATTTTATCTCGGTTTAAACGACGGATGTTGTTTGCACGATGATTCACATACTCGATAACTAATTTTAAACATCTCCGCACCATTCCATGAATCATTCTAATTATTCGTTCTGATAAAACCAGATTGCACAGCATAACAGGTAGATACACCAACTTCTTGTTATTTACGAACACTGAAATATTTCGAAAGACGTTAACGATACGGAGAAATGTTGCAGACATAACTTATGCGATATTAAAGAAGACTTACTACGCGACAGACGATTTGACATTGCGATGACCCTGAAACATCTTGTGAAGTTGTTAAAATTCTTAAATGCAATGTATTTCTTTTTTCTCAAAATCTTTGGTGTCTTATAAAAAGTACTGAAATATTTTTAATCGAAAAATTACTTCATTTAAAAAATTTAAAATATTGGCATTGCACTTCAATACCTTTCTTACGCAAAATATTTCAAAGAATGCATCCACGTAAAAAAGATATGCCATTCCGATAACTAATGTTAATATAATCTTCACAAAACATTTAAAGGTCATCCCAAGATCAGATATGTAAGACTATTGATGTACTGTGTTATAAAAACATATTTCTGCTATTCATATTTTTTGTAAATATTTGCATGAATTCAACTGAACGAGACATATTATGTACTTTTATAGAAACAATATGAAAAGTTAAAAATAACTAAATATCATTTATAAACTTTTTATAAACACTTACTTGTTAACATAAATTATAATATTTATTATGTGTCATTTACTTTACAGGATCACGACATTGTAGCTCACTAAATAACCAAAAAAAAATTAGTTACATAATATTTCTCCTGGATAGCCTTTAGAACAGACGCAAAAGATAACCTGTCAGACACGATAATGAATTACCTTTTATCTATCTCACAACAGTTAAATTTACAAGAAACTGATTTTTTATTTGTGATATTTGCAGGAATACAGAAAGATGGTTGACAAGAATTTTCAACAAGGATTATCAGATGATGTATTTATCGTCGTGTCATCGTCGTTGACCAACGTCCCACTGTTTTCTCGTCGTGAGAAGATCGTTATCTGATAAACTACTGTCTTCTCAGGAAACTAACTTTTTTTTTATTTAATTTATTCGAGAATGTGTGATCTCTATTTTGCCTTTATTTATATTTATATATTCTTCATATAGGATTATTTAGTAATCCTTTAACTAAATTCTGGATATTTTTGCATTTTATAAATGTAGTATCATTTTATTTGTTGACGACAACTTTGCAATGTTATGTTATTTTTATAAATGATTTTTATATTTGTTAATACGATTTGTGAGAATTAATAAAATATCTTGTGCAGCAACTTGTTACAAAGAAATCTGTATTTTTATTAACCTCTGAGAGATTGCTACAATATAAAAAATTACAAAATTTAAAAATTTTTGAATCCAAGAATCCAAACGCATCCCGTCTCGAAATGGTGGTCCCAAAATTCAATAGTCTAAAAATTTAAAGATCCTAAAATCCCGAAATTGACACAGGAGAATCAAAAAATTACAAAAAGTATATAACACAGCTGCAACTATAGTATATTACTAACTTTTCCTACCTGGAAACAAACAAATTGCTCAACTACTTAATAATTTCCTATTTCAACGTGTAATCATATTAAAACGTTTGCTTTTTTGCGAAACCTAACTCGTTAGAATTCGTTGCATAAAAATACTCAAGTTCTTTTGCAACTGGTCATACATGAAAAGAAACGACGCTATTCATTAAAAATTTCCAAAGAGTCTATGAAAAGAGAAAATCATCGCGATAAAAAAAGTAACCATTGCGCTACGATTACTCCACGATGAATGTTTCCTCGGTGATTACAGTATCTAGTTAATTCGGTAGTAAAAATTTGTTGAATTATTGTAGAATAGATTTATCGTTCTACACATAGTTGCGAAATTTTAATCTGGAGAGATTTAAAGTGTATGGACTGATGGATTTCACTTGACACACGCGTCATTAGCGGGGAATAAAAAAAAAGTGGTAGAGAAAGGACCAAAGTCGTAAAAGAATGTTCACAATGTGAAATGCTAGTAGAGACACATTTTTATTTTCTAAAATTGAAATCTGGATATCTGCCATTTTGACAACTTCAGGTTTTAATATTTGTGAACTTGTAACTTCTGAAATTTCTAATTTATCAGAATACCAAATATCCAAATTTAAAATTATGCACATTAAGAAATGAAAACATCAGTACATCTTTGTTTAATTAAACCTGGGATTACTGAGTTACTTAACTGATAACAAAAACACAGTAGCTTGTTAATGATCTTAAAACAAACATAAATATCTTTACTTTGTAATAATTCCAATTTGCATGATAAACAAAAAAATGTTTACAATGTGAAATAATAATAGAGATATATTTTTATTTTCTAAAATTGAATACTGGATATCTGAGATCTTGACAACTTCATTTTTCAATATTTGTAAACTAGTAACTTTTGAAAATTCTAATTTATCAAAATACCAAATATCCAAATTTAAAAATATGCACATTGAGAAATGAAAACATCAATACATCTTTGTTTAATTAAACCTGGGATTACTGAAGTACTTAACTGATAAGAAGAAGACAGTAGAATACAAACATAAATATCTTTACTTTGCAATAATTCGAATTCGCATAATAAATAAAAGTATGTTCACAATGTGAAATAGTAGTAGAAACACATTTTTATTTTCTAAAATTGAATACTGGATATCTGCCATTTTGACAACTTCAATTTTCAACTTCATTTGTAAACTTGTGACTTTGAAAATTTTAATTTAGCAAAATGTCAAATCTATAAATTTAAAAATATGAAAATCTGAAAATTAAGACATCAATAAATCCTTGCTTAATTGAACATATTACTAAGCACATAATTAAGTGATAATAGAATACAGCAGCTTGTTAATGACCTTACGATAAGCATATTTTATGTAATTGTATTATCCAATACACATGTACAATTGTCGAACATTAATAATTCATCTTGATTAATTATAGCTAATTGCATACTGCGTGAAGCTATTATGTCATAAGCATAGCATTTACCTATTTTATAGAATAATTTACAAGTGACGTAAATGGTAATTCAAAATCATTATAAACTGGGCTATTGTAATAATGCTAGACAAGCATTTCAAATTATTCAAACATAGTTACAAATATAGCATTCTAACATTCCTAGATAATTGCTTGATGAATTCAAGACACACAACACAGTTTATATAACAAAAGAATATGCTTTCATTTGTGAGGCCTTGGAAGTCTCCATACCTAATGATCTAGAAAAAAAAAGAAGTCAATTTCTCCAACTTTCTTCTTTAATAACGAACTTCCTTTTTGTATCTTTCTGGAAAGACAAAGTAACGTGAATAAGTGGATATCGTTGATTGAAAACAAGTGTACTTTCAAATAATTCGATGGTTCATGTGAACAAAGTAACTAGGTTATGTTTACGTTATGAGTTAAACTTGATAATAAATACATCAAAATTACATATTCCCACTGTGAAAAGTTAACTAACCGATAATAAATGATATATCACATTTTGAATTAATCAAAGCAATCAAAAAGAGTGTAGTGAATGATATTTAAATTCAGAAGTTATTGCACCGTGTAAGTTTCTTTCTCGAAGTAAACACACAAAATGGACCATTCGAGTGAAACTATCGTAAAACGTTTCGTTGGAGAAGATTTTTGTGCGGGAGCTCATTAAATCCACGAACATTCAGAGAGAACGAAAGCGAATGATGGAAGAAACCAGCCTCCGACGATGGGTTACTTTTACTTTCTCTGTTCTGCACGAAACGCAAAACAGCACCGACAGTGAAGTATAAACATCTCAAAAGGCCCTACACAATTCATATATTTTGAAGTCTCGTTATTCTAACATATTTCTAAAATACTTTTAATAGCGCGCAAAATACATGTTCTTAATAACAATTACTTATCTTCCAATCAAATACAAATTGCAATATATGCGGATGTCTTCTACAATAAGAAATTAAGGTCTATTACTTCTTCAAATCAAATGATATATTTTTGATTTCATAGTATTATACAGCTGATGTTTGAATGAGTTCAAGAAATTGTATCAGAAATATAAATTGTAAAATAAGATGTTTAAAAAATTTTAAAAAAGAAAAAATATGGGGTCTCTTTATTTTTTGATATTCTAAGTAGATGTTTGTTTTGCTCATTGATTAATCCAGCACTGAACTTCGTGAAGTAAAAGCCGAAAGGAGTACGCTTTCCCTCTCGTCCTGTCTGATCTCGTGTTGCATACTCTCAGAATCCTTTTGTAACTATGTTATATGATTATACTAGATGTATGATGGACGAAGTCACAAATTTGCAAAATGCCAAAATTCTAAAATTAAAAAATTTTAAACTTTAAAACTCAAGAATTCTAACATTTCAAAACAAAAATACAAAAATAGAAAATTTAATAATTGTAAAACTTGAAAATTAAAAAACTAAAAATTTGAAAACTCAAAAACTACAAAATTTAAACATTTAGTTTTAGTTGTAATAATAATAATATGTATCTGTTAATAATATACTAATAATTACTAGTAAAAATAAAATTATAAAAAACAAAAATATGAAGGTTTAGAATTTATTTTAATAATTTTTTATTTTACTGCCTTAGAAATTTTAATAAGCGCACTACTGATAGTTAATAATATTTCATTTAAAAATTATTGTAATTATTACATATGAATATTAATTATCACAACAAAAATGACCAATTACTCGTAATAATTGTTAATAAAAATTACTAATAATTATTATTTTACAACACCAACCAAAATTTACGAACCAAATAATTCTTCAAAACTGAACAAAAGTAGAAAGCTTGAATATTTAATAAAACATTCAGACTACGAGAACATCAATTTTTCAATTCTCAAAATAAATACGCTAAACTGATTAGCAATTCATCGTCATGAAATAACTTTCATTTTCTGTCAAATTTGGTCATCTTCATCCATGTTCACATAAGATAATTTCTTCATTTTTGAGGAATGTTACTTTTATGCAATTCACTTGCTTAAATTCGGCTGCGTTGCAAAATAGAATGGAACGAAATTAATTAAATGACTTAATAACCCATTTTATATTCTTGTAATACACCACAAGAAAATGGATAACAATTAAGCAATTTTAATCTTTACATCAAACATGAGATTGCGAAATATGTAAATAGTATGCTTGCATTACATCCGCTTTTCCTAAAATATATTTCACGGAAGTTTCAGCAAATTCTAATCACTCGATATAAGCAAAAAAGTTATCTCTTCCACTGAGGGAAAGACCTCTCGAAACGCCGACAAGCTCGCTCGCTGAGAAATGTAACGTGATCCAGGCTCGGGTATATCCGTGAGACAATACATATGTAAATATAAAACTTTTTTATTTTTTGTTTTTTTGTTATTGAACTTTTACCAATCGATTTTTCACATTTTTCTGATTAAAATGAGACCAAACACGATATATTTTGAACTACTATATTTACTAGTTATTTGACGATAATAAATTCCGAACACAGAGGAGGATAGCGAGTGAAAAAGAAAGAGATGCTACGATTGTAACAGCCCGCAAATATCAAAAGTCTATTCTATTGTTTTTAATATCAACATTAAACGTTCTTTATATTCTGTACTTTTTATACAATTTTTACCAACATATTAGTGACGCTTTTTTGATTAAAATGAAACCTAACACAACATAATTTGGGACATATTTATTTGCAATAACTTATTGGAATAAAGTTCTCGATACAACGTTTGGAATTAAATATAAATATATGCATAATTACGTCGTGCATGGTCTCATTTTAATTAAGAAAATGTATCAAATACGTGGTAAAAGTTTCATAAAAATATGAAAAATAAAAAAGTTTAATTCTTATATTACGATTCTCCTACCGATATGTTCCTGTTTGTTAACGTTCGGTCGAACGACTTCTTCGCTCGCTATTCTACGTTCGATAAAACATCGATATAAGATCTGTACCGATATACGCAAAAATTCAGACCCGAAAGATTTGCTTATATCGAATGTTTACTGCAATATTATCTCTGCGAAAATTATTTATTCTATTTAATTGGATATTACGCATAGTTATTAAACCGACTGTTTCGTATGTTTTTGAAATTGGATGTCACATGATTTTTAGTTCAAGAGGTTATTTAAAAAAAAAAATAGATTTACAAAGGCTATCATTTCTATAATAGATGATTACATTTTAAATAAAGAATTTACATTTACTATTCTAATTTAATTATGTATCAATTGTAAATTATATAAACTTACAATTTTTATAATTCCGACGTTTTAGTTCTAGTTCCAGTCTAAAATGGAGGCCACAAGTCGGTGTTTTAGCAAACGCGGTTTCGACACTAACGAATAGTTCTGCCATTTGAAATATTTTTATGTACTAGAAACACAGTATAGCTTTCTTATACTGTGCTAGAAATTCAAATATAAAGCTGAATGTTACATTTGCATAACTACCATAAATTCACACTGAAAACTTTTTATCTCTTTATTATTCATAAAACAAATTCTGTATTTCAAAAGTTTTAAATGTCTAAACTGACAAATATCCAATTTCGTAATTTTTCAAATACAAAGATTCTAAACCTCTCAAATTTCCCAAACATGTTAATAAATACCAAAATTTCCCTTGCACCACATTTGTGAACTCCGGGCACATAATTTTTTCACAATAATAATAATTTTGTTAACAACGCAAACACTAACCTCAAAATTGGAATGAAATTAAAAAATCTATCAATTTCATAAAATATACATTTTTATATAAAAAAAAAATTATTTTTAAGCAGAATGAATTAAGAAAATTAAACAATTTAAAGAAATTATTCTCAAGCAGAGAAAGAGGAAAAAACAACATCCGAACCACAAAACTACGAACTGTGTTATGTACATACTATGAGAATATTACGTCACGTTAGATACGTTTCAGCATGAACTCTTGATAACACGAATTGAATGTCAATGTAGAATTTCCTTGTCTATCGCCGGGTGTTGTACTGTTGTGCTCTTCTACGGAACGTAGATTCACAGAAGAGTATGGTTCACGAAGCAGGAAGAAACAGAAGCACGTAACACGAATCAGAGCAGATCACTGACCTTGCTACTCTCCATATTTTATGAGACGGTTGCTACGCGAGCCTCTTCCACGCCGACGACATTTAAATTTGATATCACCATCGTTGGAAGTCGTATTAAGCACTTTTTCTTTCGTTAAGTGCTTCCCGGATAAATCGTGACAACGTGCTCGTAAAAAACACCGAATAAAGGAATGCAAACAAACGAAACTCGTATAAATCATTATTAACACTTTTCAAGACAAATTGTATCATTATATTATATCATTATACAGAAATCATTTTTTGTCAAAATAAATGCACTAATTTTTTCTTGCATGATTTTTTCAATTTTGATATAGAATGCGTTTTTGAAATCTCACAATACTAACAAAAAATAACAAACCAATTTTATTAAATAAATTTAGATAAAGAAAAATAATATAATATTGCAACATTTCAGAAATAGCAAACATTCGTAATTGCAAAAAATAATAAACATTATTAATAATTTAACTATGAAATTTATTATATTTAATATGTTTAAGAAAATATAAGACCATCACAATATATTTTTTTCAAAAGCACTAAGAATAGAGGATTTTTGTTTGGTTAGGTTCCTCAATTTTTGTAAAAATATCAAGTGTCACCTATTGTTTAATTTAAATACAATTTTTAATTATAATTTTATGGAATAGAGAGTAATTTTGAATCTTAATTACTTACGTTACTTATTGAATATACAATTGTTTCTTCTACAGTTTTACAAACCAATTTTCGTGCATCAAAACGATTCACAAAGCACTATGGGGTCACTGCACGCTACAGTGAGGGTCCATGTGAACTGTAAAAAGCAAAAATAGAATTAGATAGTGCTTTGTCTACGACAGCGATGGACAACTGAGTCTGTTTATAGAGAATCTTCGTTGAATCACCATACATTTTTTATAAACTCTGTATATACATATACATATAGAATTTCTATATCAGGGTTTCGCAAACTTTTATAGAACATACGAAGAAGGTTATTTTCTACGATACACTCGTTTGCAATGCATTATTTTTCAACGTCCCGATAATTTTTATTATAGAATTCGGAAATTACACAGTACCAAAATTTAAAAATTGCTAACTACCGCATAGTTTCTAATTCTTAAATAAAAAAATTTCGAAGTGATATAATTTCAATATGCCATAATTGCATAATGTCATAATCCTAAAATTCTAAGATCACTCAATTCTACAATTCCGAAATTCTGAAGTGTCAAAATTGCAAAATCTCAAAGTCTAATCTCTAAGCCCCCAAAATGCAAAAATTTAAATATTACCAAAAATCTAAAATTGCCAGTTTTAAATTTAAAAAATTGCAAAATATATAAGTCCCGCATTTCTCTAACCTCCTTCATACGTTCATCCGATCTCCCCAAACGTAATCGGTGCTCATAATCTCTTCAGAATGCACGTGATCTTCCCTCACTTCAACATAACCAACTACGTATCATTACGCTTTATTGCAATGATAAATCGCAATCATTTTCTCGTTTCACGTTTTTCGCGCATTCCTCTGTCTACATTACAGATACAACACACATCTACAATAACAACGCGGAACACAGACGACACAAGCCGTGTGCAACGGTTCATACCTAAAATAAGAATTAATCACTAGCCAACAATCGCATGCTTTCTGCAAAGTCAGCCAAAAACTTGAAAGCACTGTACATATCACTATAATCTACGAAATTACTTATACTGACACTGTCGCCTCGCCCTTAATTGTACAGAATTGATTGCGAGAAGAGCGGAAACGGCGAGGTGGGCGAAGAGAAGCGTGCACGATACTAAAAGAGACAAAGAAAACGTAAAGCATGTGTATATGTATGGCAGCCGCGTCATGGCACTACCAATACAACACACGTTTAATCTCCGTACGTGCGTAACGTTATCTCAGAAGGAGAGGACGGGAAGGTTATGGATACAGTTAAATAGCGGCACTTTGATCCACAATCGCGCCACGTGTTTTGACCTGCCCGATCGGATCCAAAACATTCTGCAACTCAATCAGAGATATACGTTAGAATAATTCATTTTTTAGCGATGTGGTTAATCATAATTTCATTGTTTTCGTAAAAGCGTCTAACAGAACAGGTCACCGCTACGGGAAGGTCCTCGCAGACGAGTTCGTTGACAATCAGAGGAGACGAACATGTGCGTTTTGAACGGATGCTCGAGAGAACGAGCAACATAAAACTCGGGTCCAAGTCCAACGATAGACGAGCTAACCAGTCACGACTGCTCGTTGCCGCGGAGAGGGTTCAAAAGAGAACGGAGCGGTGGTCTGCGAGAGACGCAACGAGCAGTCGCCAGCTGGTTGCCGGTCTACGTGGATCGTTGTGGAGCGGAACTTCTTCTTCTTAATTTTTTTTTACTTTTGGTTCGTGCGTTTGCCGTACGATAAGCGTAGCTGATTGGAACGAGAGGAGAGATCCAGTCACAACACGATGAGCAGTTGTCGTTGACGAGTTCACGCGGTTGTTTTGATTAAACGGTTTAGGGAGCTGTCCCGACGTTGCGCTATATCGGTATACTTCGATGAGAGCGTACCTCTGGCAGCATGTCGTCGGTGTTCTCGAAACTAGTCGTCAAGACGTCCTCCAAATACGGCATCAAGCAAGAACAGCTGATCCGCGGCGTGCTCGGGGTTTCAACGGTGCTCTACCTGCTCAAGATCGGTTACCCGTTGGTCACTCACAGTATACAGCAGTATCGGAAAAGGAAAAAGCAGACGCAGGATGCTTCCGATGTTGACAAGCAATGTAACAACAATGTTGTTAGCAAGAAATCGGCTACCACTAGCAGAAAGTCTGGTGTCGGGTTAGATCTAGTGTTCCTTAAACAGCTGATCACGCTGTTGAAGATCATGGTGCCCGGTTGGAGAACACAGGAAGCCGGATTGTTAACGTGCGCCGCAGCAGCGCTCATTACTAGGACGCTTCTCTCCGTTTACGTTGCAACCTTAGAGGGTCAAATCGTAAAAAGGATCGTTCTGAAGGACTTACCTGGATTCGTCTCAATGATGACAAGATGGTTTGCCATCGCTCTGCCCGCGACCTTCGTCAATTCGGCTATCAGATATCTGGAAGGTCGATTGGCTCTTAGTTTTAGGTATTTGCGCAAACGTTGACTTTGCAGTGTGTTTTAACTGTTTGCAGTTGTATTTATTCCAACCCTGAATCATTCAATTTAATTTACATTAAACATAATCAAATTATGACTCTACCAATCAACATTACCTCACATTAAATATAATTAAATTTTGACTTCACCAGTCACAATTGTTTCAAAATAATTTATGCTAGACACAACTGATTATAAAAAGTTTCAATCAAGAAATTGATCATATTTCATTTAAAATAACATGAAATATCCACTGTGTTTCTAAACAACACTGACTCAGAATAATAAACATCCAGACCGATATGCAGTGACTAAAAACAAACATATATCATACAAACATGCAAAGATTAAACTCTTGACTCATAGTGCACCTTGTGATTTTAAACAAGTTCTAAGTTTCTCCTTTATTTTTTAAAGAGGACGCCTGGTGGAGCATGCCTACAAAATGTATCTTAGTCAACAAACGTACTATAGAGTATCAGCATTGGACACTAGATTAGGAGGTGCAGAACAAAGACTGACAGATGATTTGTCTGAACTGGCAAGTTCTGTGGCGCACCTTTATTCTAGCTTAACCAAACCGTTATTAGATTGTACCTTAGTGGGTATCACACTCATTTCATTTTCATCTAAAATGGGAGCAAGACAAATACAAGGTAACGTTATTTGCATGTTCATGAATTATACAAATGATGCTAATATTATTTTCAACATAAATTATATGATAATTACTATTATTTGCATTGTCTTGCAGGACCAATGCTGTCAACCATAGTAATTGCTATGACTGGGCAAATTTTGCGTCTTACATCTCCTAAATTTGGTCAGTTGGTGGCTGAAGAGGCAGCTAAGCGTGGAAGATTAAGAGAGGCCCATGCTCGTATCAGTGCTCATGCGGAAGAGATTGCATTTTATGGAGGACACTATACAGAGCATCGATATTTGATTACAGCATACAAATCTCTTGTGTCCCATTTAAGAAAAGTGTTAGCACTGAAATTGTGGTATGTGATGTTAGAACAGTTTCTCATGAAATACGTATGGTCTGGCACTGGACTTTTAGTTATCGCAATGCCTCTTCTTTACACGACAGTCACTGGAAATACAAATGCAGATGACCGTGATGGTGTGTAAATAAATATATCTAATGACTTTATAAAAATCAAATATTGATACAAATTTTTGTTTGTAATCAGGTGGTGTCAGCGAAAGAACCAGATACTTGACAACATCCAAAAATCTTTTAAGTTCTGCGGCAGATGCAGTAGAAAGGCTTATGTCATCTTATAAAGTAAGCGATTCACTGAAAGTTCCAATAATGATATAATATTTGTAAATAATTTTACTTGTTATAGGAACTGGTGGAATTAGCAGGGTATACGGCTAGAGTTAGTGAAATGTTAGATGTGTTTAAAGATTCTGCGCTTTGTAAATACAAAAGAAATATTATTAGTAGTCCACTGAGAATAGCAAATGGCACAGCAAACAATGGTTTAGATAAAATTGAATTGAAAGATGGTGCACCAGTGATAAAAGGTAACCTATATAGCATTATACAAATACTGTACTAACCACTAATGTACAAAATACTTTTTCTAGGGATTGTGCGTGAAAGTACAGATGGCAGTATAAGTTTAATAGACGTGCCAATAGTTACACCCAACTGTGAAATTATCGTGCCTAGTTTAACTATTCATGTAAGTATTTTTAATTAAAAGTAAAAGATAATTAAAATATTAACCATTTATGTAAGTATCCTTAACAAGTAATTATGTTAAATTTTCTTTTATTTTCAGATACAACCGGGTGATCATATACTAATTACTGGCCCCAACGGCTGTGGAAAAAGTTCATTGTTTCGTATAATCTCCGGTTTATGGCCAGTGTATGATGGTACATTGGTCAGGCCCTCCGAAAAGTTCTCTGCTCAGAAAGGAAGGCCCGCGTTGTTCTATATTCCTCAAAAACCTTATATGACCGTTGGTTGTTTGCGGGATCAAATCTTATATCCTTCAGCATCGCAAACTGAAAACTGTTCCGACGAGGAGCTTTTGAAGCTCTTGGAGGAAGTTGATCTACAGTGTTTAGCTGAGCGAGAACCTGAAGGACTCGATGCTTTTGCTGACTGGGACTCTACTTTATCTGGTGGTGAAAAACAAAGGCTCGCTATGACCCGTTTGTTTTATCATGCACCACAATATGCGCTTTTGGATGAATGCACCAGCGCAGTGAGCCTCGAGGCTGAAAGCGTGATATATGAAACTGCCAAAAGGAAAGGAATTACATTGTTGACGATCACCCATCGGCTGTCATCACTCGCCAAGTATCATAAATTATTGTTGCGATTCGATGGAGAAGGTGGCTGGACCTTTGGACCTTTGGATACGGAGAATTTAACGCTTCTAATAAATCAAAATGGCGAACACACGGAGCACCCAGTGAAAGGAGGTCATTATCAGATATTACAGGTACGTCTTTTTCTTTCTATCGTTGTTATTGTTGCTTAACAATCGTAGCTTGATATATGCGTAATCTTTCTTTTTAATTTCGTTGTTTCTTATTGCAGGAACTGCGTGACATCCATTCGGAAGAATCGAAAGTTGGAATCAGTTAAAGAAACTTCGAGAAAATACCTCGTGTTGACTTAATTGAATTCCCTGTAGGAATTGTAAATATATTTTCACGGATGTGTTTTGTACAGAGGGTTTACAAACGTTTCTAAATATTTTATTTTTATACGAGCAAACGTTATTTAATGACGTAAGTTATAAATAAATGGTGATAAACATATATGCGTTGATGCCTTTTCGACAAATGTATCAATTATTTAAATGAAATAGATATGTTTAATTATGCAAATAGAATATGGTATTATACTTTCATTTCCTGGTTGTGACGAATTGCAATTCCTCTTTGAGACATTTACATTTTATAATTCCTTGAATGCGTTGATGCGGTAATTTGTGCAAAGTTATGTCTATGAATTATAAAATCATATAATATAATTCACAACAGTAGTATTAAATGTCTGATTAAGTACGACACGATCTGTTTTACTTCGCAATTATAAATGAATTTCCTGGTTATAATTAATGAAGCACAAATTCGAATATAACGCAAGATTTTTTTTTAATAATCTGCCATTATTTCCCGAGATATGTTGCTTCGAAAGATTGCTATCGTGAATAATTTAACAAATAAAATGCGCTGAATCTGATACGTCACGATACGATAGCAGATATTAATCAGTATAAAAGTATCGATCGGTGGAAAACAACTTCAGATTTTCAGCGTCTATTTAAAACTCAATCTTTGCTCTTTGCCCTGACCAGTCGTTAAGAATGTTTAATTCAGACGATTTGGTCACAAAAAAGAAAAATCTTGAAGTGCATTACTTTCAAAGATAGAAAAAAATTTGTGAATATGAAAATGAATTATGAATACTGATCAAGCAATATTTGGTGGAAAATATTAAAGACATAGCGCAATGAGCAATAAAAAAGGAGTTTAAAGCATACAGGTAAAATGTTCAATACTAATAAAAAAATAAATGGATTTAACTCAACAATGAATACTAAAACTAATGAAGAATTTAAAGAGAAAAAAACTTAGCTGGAGAATAAACACTGTCATAAATAATATTCAATAATTTAGTATTTAATAAAACAAATAACAAAAAGCTACTGAAGGGAAAGAAACAGAAAGCTTATCTAAACAATAAATACATGAGAATCATTTATTATTTAGAAAGGTATCTAAAATTATTTTAGAAAAACATTTTAGTAATGCAAATGGGGACAATAAGTGATAGAAGACCATAAAAAAAATCAAGGAGAAATATATCCAATGAAATGTGCATATCATTAAAACAACATATAATAATAACTAAAAGAAAAAGAAGGAAATTATCGAACTAAAAAAGCTAAATGAAAATTGGTAACCAAAGAAGAAAATTAAAAAAGGAGGAATGTGAAAATGAAAACTTATCTATGACACAAAAGAATATTTGATATTAATAAATAAAAATAGGAACACAACTGTCGAATGAAATAGAGACAAGTGAAGGGTGAAACAACGAGAGAGTTGAAAAATAGAAAGAAAGGATAGGAGAGCGAAAGAGGAAGAGAAAGAGAGGGAGAGTTTCGATTAAAAGCCGGATCGCGGATTAAACTTCCTTTTGCCCGTTGGTGTAGCTGCGAGCAACGGCGTTCCATGGCGGGCACATTAATTTGTGGCGGACAAAAATTTAATTACGTGTGTTTCTTTGTTTTGAAGGGCCAGAGCAAAGGCGGGGGCGATGCCAGGGGAGGGAAGACCCACAATTTCCGATGAGCTTACCTCTGGGAAACCCTGCAAACGCCAAACGTCGATACGCCCGGGAGTCAGCCATCTTGGGGGGTTGTATATCTCTCTGCGACGTTCCAGCTAATGCTTTAAAGCAATTCCAGAATACTGCTGCAATTAGACGTGTCTCTTTTTTGCTCTCCTGATGTTACACAGACACATCACAGTATAGATCACCTTTCTCGCTTGATTTGATACGTCATTTGATGATGATGACCTCTGCTATGATAATCACCCTGAAATATTGTCGAATATTGGAATCGAAGAAGCTGAAAATAAATTGACGTTCAAAAAATTGAGGTTTAGTACATTTCATTTTGTTTTTCGGTAAATTTTCAATAAATTATTGTGTATAATATATTGATGTTCAATAAATTATTTTTCAATCAACTGATGAAAATCGTTCTCCAGTAAACCTATGTTCGCGAAATTGTTTTTTATAAATTGGTGTTCAGGTAATTCTTTAAAAATTGTATTGCAATCAATTATTTTTTAGTGAAGTGTTTTCTAATTAATTGTCGTTATATAAATTATTCTTTAGTAAACTGTTTATTGTTCCTCAATAAATTGATCAGATAATTATTTTTCAATAAATTATTCTTCAATGTGTTATTCTCCAACGAATTATTTCACAATCAATTATTTTTCGAATTCATCAATAAATTCGTGTTTAATAATATATTTATCAATATATCGATGCTGTGTAAATTGTTAAATTGTATAACATACATATAAATTATACGTATAAATTGTTTTTATAAATCAATGTTCATTAAATTGTTTCCCAATTATTTTCAAAAAATCGTTCAATAAATCCTTCTTCAACAAATGTTCTCCAACAAACACAAAACACAAGTAATGAACAAAAAAACTTATTGTATGATCAACGGGTAACAACAGTAAACACACGTATAATAAAAAACAAAAATTAAAATACTTCTCTCCAAACAATGTAATTTGAATGTTATAAAATTGCTTTTACCCTTTTTTTCCCCTAACCGGTGAATGTGAAACTCAACCGGTTATTTGGTGGCACGAAGATATTGTCAAACGGTAAACCAACTCTTTGTCGCTGGAAATCCCATCGGATGACAAGATAGCGATCGGATAGTGGCTTATTACGTTCTTTATTCGAAGAGACGATCTTTCGGCGTATGCGGTGACGATGGCGGCCGGCTGGCACGCGCCGCCTGTAATTCAATCGGCTATTTCAACGAGCAGGAGTTACCATCCAGGGTGGACACGCTTTTAATCCTTCGAGAAACTGTTGTAAACCGGCCCGTGTATATTCCTTCGCTAATCATCCCGATTCTTATTTTCTTAGCCGGCTAGTCGACAGATGCAACCGGACGTCTTCTCTTCCGTAGCAACCCTTTTTCAAAATACGAAACTCGATACGGTCTGAACATATTCCGCGGCTGAATTGTACTGTTACGAACAGCTTGCTCGATGCTTTTTAAACAAACAACGAGAAAAAGAATTTTGAATAGGCGAGAAGAGTCTTCGTTACTTTCAGCAAGTTTAAGGAGAAATTTAAGAGAGAACTTGTAACATTTATTTTTTTAATGGACGTATGACAATTTTTCTATATTATTTGCTGTATTAATATTTTTCTATATTGCTTGCTAAATTAATATTTTTTTTGTGTTGCATATTATATTAATATTTTTGTATATTGTTTGCCATGTTAATATTTTTCAATGTTGCCTGCTATGTTAATATTACCTACATAAAGCTATTAAGTAAAATTCAGTTGCAAATTAAACTACTAATTTAGTTGCAAGAAGTTAAGATTCCAAATTAATAATTCAAATACTACTTTAAGCTAAGGCATTTTTAGAATTACAAATTATATTAATTTTTTATTGAGTAAAATTCAGTTGCAACTTCAGCTACTAATTCAGTTGCAAGAAGTTAAGATCACAAATTAACAATTCAAATACTACTTAGGTTAAAGAATTTTTAGAATTACAGATTGCATTAATTTCTCCAGAACTTAAGCACAGTGGAGGCTAATGTAGATTAGAGAATTTGTAGATAGAAGAATTCTGTGTATTTTTGTAGCCCAATGAATTACAATAGAGAGAATTATACGTTCAGAATAAAAAATAATATAATATGAAATTGTGATCGTAAATTTTGTATGAAATTCTGTAATAGCAGCTGTTTGGTTTAAAAGTGGGATAACTCCATTTTTTAAATAAAATGGAAAAGAGAATAATAGATGAAATATAACATGATACTTTCATCTGTAATTTTTAGTCAAAGTAATAGAAATTTCTGAATATTTGGATGATTAAAGTTTGATTGATTGACGGTATTGGAAAGATAATTTTGAAAATGGTGTAAGTTCTCAGGTTGATATTATTTTTATCCGAATATATTATGGTATTTAGCTCCGTTAATTTTAGTAAAACGAACAATACTATGATAAACTGAAAATTGTATAATATTAGTGGCATGACTTCAGTATTAGCGAGGTTCCGTAGGTCTGTTTAGGTATTGTTGTTTCTATTATTATCAGCTTGCAAGTTCTAGTTCAGTTTCCAATTAATACTCCACAAAGTCGATACAAAACCCTTCATCGATTTCAGCATCGGTGCACAAAACACTTTAACAATTTCACAATTATTTGAAAATTAATTACGAACCGTGGTTTATTTTATTAAATGAAATGTGGTGCAGAATGATTTCAAAGAAATTTATAACTGTGATGCATCTGAAAACGAAACTGGCAGGCAATAATACGTAAATAAAAATACTTTTCTGTGGAATAACATCACTTCTATACAATTTGTCATTTCCAAGAAATTTTATTATTTTCATTATGTACCATACGAAATGTTCTATAAAACTTGGATGAAACGACATGCCGAATTTAAATTCGTGATTTATTATTATAAGGAGGAGGGCTAAGTAATTTTGGTAATATAAAATTATGTTCTTTGCATAAAAAAAGTAGATCAACTACATCAGAGTTAGGGAATTCGGGAATGTGGAAATTTGAGAACTTGAGAGTTCAAGAATTTACAAATTTGGGAATTTCAGTGTTAGGAAATTTGGGAATTTCAGCGTTAGTAATTTAGGTAATTGGAAATTTGGGAATTTGAGAGTTTGAGAGTTTGAGAGTTTGGAATTTGGGAATTTGGGAGTTTAGGAATTTGGAAATTTAGGTAATAGGAAATTTGGGAATTTGAAAACTTGGAAATTTGGAAATTTGGAAATTAGAGAATTAGGGAATTAGGGAATTTGGGAATTTGGGGGTTTGACAATTTGGGAATTTGCAAATTTAGATAATTTGTAATTTAGAAATTCAAGTATTTGAGAATTTTGGAATTTGGAGATTTAGATTCTGGAAATTTAGAAATTTGCCAATATAGAAGTTTAAAAATTTACAAACTTAAAAAACTTAATGTCTCCTCATCGTTTAACTTCTTCCGCAACCCCTTACTAATATCTGCAAAGATAAATCAAAATGGAACACCCTGTATAACAAATATATTTATAAATATAACAATTA